CTTTCTTTTTTAAAATTTTTTGAGATAGGCTTATTTTATTAGGTTATCCCTCCCCCCCCCCACCCCCCAGCCAAACCACATACGCACTCTTAATATTTCAGTGGGATCCCATTGAAATTGTAGGTTTATTTTAGGGGCATATTGAAATTTTTATAATATCAAGGTCCCTAAGAACATGATGGTGTTTTACATTTTCCTAAATTTTGTATTTATATTTATTAGAGCTTCAGACATTTTTGTAAATAGCTTCTGTGCATATTTTTGTTGTTGAGGACACTTGTAGGATTTATTTTTTGGTTGTTGCTGTAAGTAGAATTTTTTTGTATAAAATTTTTATTTTACAGCTGCCTGTTGTTTACATGTAGAAAGCTAATGGATTATTAGTTAACTTGCTGCTTAAGTGGATCTTTGACTAGAACCTTTTTAAAAAAAATTGTTTTATACTAGATTGCTTTCGAAATTAGTTCTTCGGATAGTGCTTTTTCACTGCTCAAGGATTCCTTCTACTCCTTCCATCCCTACCTTCATTTTACACTTAATTTATGACATTTTTTTGTTTGTTTGTTTTTGAGATGGAGTTTCGTTCTTGTTGCCGAGGCTGGAGTGCAGTGACACTATCTTGACTCACTGTAACCTCCGCCTCCCGGGTTCAAGCGATTCTCCTGCCTCAGCCTCCCAAGTAGCTGGGATTACAGTCATGCGCCACCACACCCGGCTAATTTTGTATTTTTAGTAGAGACAAAGTGTCTCCATGTTGGTCAGGCTGGTCTCTAACTCCTGACCTCAGGTGATCCGCCCGCTTCGGCCTCCCAGAGTGCTGGGATTACAGGTGTGAGCCACCGCGCCTGGCCCAATTTATGGCATTTCTGGTTTTTTACTACATGTTGCCTATTTGTTGTTTTGTCAGAGTTATGTGGGCATTTTAAGATTTTTTTCTCGCTTATCCATAGCAAGCTGTGAACGTTTTAAGATTTTGAATACACTTCAGATGTGTTATATTGCCTAGTTATTCATGATTATCTTAAATTATAGTTAAGAGTTTCAAATGTAAACGTTGTTGGACTGTGTGAGTGAACAAGACAAGTGACCTTTTAATAAGGATGCTTTGAAATCTTCCGTGTTTGCATATGTATGGAAAGAAGAAAAAGAAATGTCAAAGGCTTTCTTCTGAGAAATACGGGGCCTGAGCCAGGTGGGTGTGAATAGGAAGAGAGACAGTCAAACACCCCAAGGATTGGGGATTGAGGACAGAAATTATGGAGACTTAAAGGCATAAAGCCCCCTGCCATGTGCAGACACATGTGGCTGTTACTGGTGTCTCCTATCAGATTTTGGCAAAGACCCAGCCCTGTCAATTTGGGTCTCTTGAGCAGGCGGGGAGACCTAGCATCATTCTGGTGGCCTGGGGAGTACAAAAATACGTTTAAAAGTATTGACTGTGTCCTATCAGGTGGACTAAATTTTAGAGAAATCTGGCCATTAGAAACACGTTTGTCTAGAATTTAGGACTTGGGGATTAGATTTTATGGAGTAGGATGTTAGAAATTGTTCACTGCAGTCCAAATAAATTTTAAGGACTAGGCGTCAGGCCTTAATCTAGTAAATCTTATGGCAGAATGATACTAGCAATGAGTAGATGCTCAAGGGCCAGGGTGTGGTGGCTTACGCCTGTAATCCCAGCACTTTGGGAAGCCAAGGTGGACGGATCATGAGGTCAGGAGATGGTGACCATCTTGGCCAACATGGTGAAATCCAGTCTCTGCTAAAAATACAAAAATTAGCTGGGTGTGGTGGCGTGTGCCTGTAATCCGAGCTACTCGGGAGGCTGAGGCACGATAATCAGTTGAACTAGGGAGTTGGAGGTTGCAGTGACCAGAAATTGTGCTACTGCACTCCAGCCTGGTGACAGAGTGAGACTCCATCTCAAAAAAAAAAAAGTTGTGCAGAGCTGTGTTTTAAAGTTTGTGAAAAATGTGCACTCAAAGTTGATACTGATGTTTATGGTGGAAGTGTTTGTGGGAAAGGTAGAAGTGATTTTTAGATAGAAAATAAAGTTCTTATTACAAAGCAGAGTGAGAAAGATTATAAAGGTGAGAAAGGAGAGTGAAATTTTCTAGTGATTTAGACTTCTGATTTGAACTAATCCACTATGAATTATACAGAAACTAGAAAGATTAATTTGTGAGACTTTTCAAAGTTAGTGAGAGTTTGTTGAAGGACTAGAACATGTTAGTGGAAGTTGAAAATATGGCTGTCTTCTGATGGGAGAGATGCTTTACTAATATTCATAAACATGGAAATTCTCGGTTTCTGAAATTTGTTAAAAAATGGCAAGGGTATAATACAGTTATATTTGCTGGTAATATAACTGTGAATGCGTGGACCAAAGTGATTGTTGAAAGTGAATGTGGGCCAGGTGTGGTGGCTCATGCCTATAATCCCAGCACTTTGGGAGGCCGAGGTGAGTGGATCACCTGAGGTCAGGAGTTCGAGACCAACCTGGCCCACATGCAAAACTGTCTCTACTAAAAATACAAAAAAATTAGCCAGGTGGTGGGGTAGTCCCAGCTACTGGGGAGGCTGAGGCAAGGGGATCGCTTGAGCCAGGGAGGTGGAGGTTGCCTTGAGCCAAGATTGCACCACTGCACTCCAACTTGGGCAACAGAGTGAGACTCTGCGTCAAAAAAACCAAAAAAACAAAAAGTGAATGTGCCCTACTAGAAACTGTCCAGAAAGTCATCATTAGCATGGTCAGATAATCAAAGCCTGAACTAGAGTGGCAACTCTTAATATTTAAATTTAGGGAGGATTAATTAATAAATACCTCCAGAATTGCAAGGCAAGAGGTACTATAGCAGTCTTTTTTTTTTTTTCTTCCCCTTCTTTGAGATGGAGTTTTGTTCTTGTCGCCCAGGCTGGAGTGCAGTGGTGTAGCCTCGGCTCACTGCAACCTCTGCCTCCTGGGTTCAAGTGATTCTCCTGCCTCGGCCTCCTGAGTAGCTGGGATTAAAGGTGTCTGCTATCACATCTGGCTAATTTTTGTATTTTTAGAAGAGATGGGGTTTCACCATGTCGGCCAGGCTGGTCTCGAACTCCTGACCTCAGGTGATCTGCCTGTTCCGGCCTCCCAAAGTACTGGCATTACAGGCGTGAGTCATTACACTTGGCCTACCATAGCAATCTTCAAGAGAAGGGTATCCTTGGTTTTAGGCCTCAGTGAGGATGTTTGCATAGAAATGTCCAATAGCACACACATAAATGAAACAACAGGCAGTTGGAGCTGGAGAAGAGGAGTGAACCATTCCCAGTGCCAGTTAATATTTTGAAAATTTTGCTTAGAAAAATGTCTGACACAGAGTACGCCCTTAAATATATTTTTTTTGTTTTTCTTTTTTTTTGTTTTTTTGTTTTGAGATAAGCCCGTAATCTGTCACCCAGGCTGGAGTGCAGCAGCCTGGTCATGGCACAGCAGCATGATCATGGCTCACTGCAACCTCTGCCTCCCAGGCTCAAGTGATCCTCCCACCTCAGCCTTCCAAGTAGCTGGGACCACACACGCCACCAGGCCCGCCTAAGTTTTTTGTATTTTTGGTAGAGATGGGATTTCACTTTTGCCTAGGATGGTCTCAAACTCCTGAGCTCAAGCTGTCTGCCTTTCTTGGTCTTCCAAAGTGCTGGGCTCCTGGGCTTGCTTTGTTTTTTATTGCTGTTACCCCTCTTCCATCTACGTTGTAAGTTTCAAAAACAAAAACAAAAAAGAACAAAACATTTTTTGTTGTTGTTGTAAGTTTGCCTTTTCTCTTTATTCTCTTTGTTTTGGGTTTATTCCTTCAAATCTCTTTAGTGTTACTTAATGGACTTTTGGGAAGGAGTGAGATAAACAGATGTGTTTGTTTTTGCCTTGCTTTGACGAGGTATTATACATGTGTTTATATAGCTAGTTTGCTGTGGACATTATGGAGTCGTGTGATAAAGATGTTTTAGAAAAGTATTTCCTACGTACCCCATGGTTCAAAGTATGTGTAAACATTTCACTAACATTCAGTAATTTGCGGTTCTGATTCATAGTAATATAAAGTCATTTAATGTTCATTGTAATTATATAAGTGCCAAGGACTGCTTGCCTGTGGTTACAGAGTGGTGGAATCAGGATTTCAGCAACAGTAATTCTACACCCAAGTCCTTTGCTCTTTCTTGAGTATGTCAGATCTTATGGTTTCTTCCAACTGTATTAATCAAAGGAAGATAAAGAAGGCTAATTTTAATATTAATTTTAAGCCTGAAAAATGACCACCAGTTGTTATTGAGAATCTGTATTCATTCCAACATAGTTGTGAACAATGTACTCACTATAGCCCAATTTAAAGGGAAGGGAAAGAGAAGTATGTAGAAAAAATAAGATTAAGTTAATGGCAAAGATAGTATTCAAAATGTTGTCATGCATTTTACTGAAGGTGGACTATAATATTGATAACATTTATAACAAAATTGAGTTCTTACTTTGTGCCAGGTACTGTGCTAAACATTACTTCATTTAGTTCTCATAATTTTTCATTAGGTGGATGATACTGTGATTAAATTCATTAGTTCAAAACTGTATTCAAGAATATAAAAGTGATAGAGTTTGGGTATGAATCCTGGCAACCAGTACTCTAGAGCTTGAACTCTTTGTCACAGTAGTAAATACTGAACCCTTAGTCACAATACTAAATAACTGCCTTGCTGAACTAATACGTGAGATGTTCCAGGGATGTACATTTACTTCTGCTAATTCCCAGGTAGATGACACCAGGTGAAAAATGAGGTTCAGAGAGATTAAGTAACTTAAAAGATCATGTATCTCGTAAATGGTAGAGATGGAAATCAAACTCACATCTGCCTAATTCCAAACCTGTGTTCTTTCAGTACTCCCTATTATCTTTGTATCTCTAATACAGCCTTTTAGAGTTATGAAGTGCTTTAATATTGATATGCTTTCATAATGTTTTTGTGTCTTGCAGGGATTTATCAAAGATGTTCATGAAGACTCCCTTACAGTTGTTTTTGAAAATAAGTAAGTTATTTTTGTTGACGAAGGCCTTCATATTAGAGGTGGCAGTGCCAAACTGTTTGCTTCTAGGGGGTGGGGAGGTTTGGTTGTTTGATCGTAAGTCTATCTTTGATAACTGTTTATCTGTTTTTCTGTCCATAATTGTCACTTTTTTCATAACGCTCTTCTTTGCCAAAACATGTTTAGATATGAATCAGTTTTGCAGAAATAGATGGCACAAATTAGATGATAATATGCTTAATACTTAAAAAGCCCAGAATTTTCAAATGATGTTGTAGAAGGTCTTCCAGTTGACTGCTGGTCATCAGAATAAGTATTAAGCCATCTTTAATTGCCTGAGGGGTATGTAATCTAAAAATGGGAAAGACAGCATACTGGGCTTGGTTAGGAAGGGCTATAAAAGAGCACTGGGCTGGGTGTGGTGGCTCATGCCTGTAATCCCAGCACTTTGGGAGGCCAAGGTGGGCAGATCACCTGAGGTCGGGAGTTTGAGACAGCCTGGCTAGCATGGTGAAACCTCATCTCTACTAAAAAATACAAAAAAATTAGCTGGGCATGGTGGCGGGTGCTTGTAATTCCAGCTACTTAGGAGGCTGAGGCAGTAGAATTGCTTGAACCTGGGAGGTGGAGGTTGCAGTGAGTGAGCCGAGACTGCGCCGTTGCACTCCAGCCTGGGTGACAAGAGGAAAACTCTGTCTCCAAGAGCACTGTTTAATTGATGGTCAGAAAAAAACTGTTCAGCTTCCACTTTTAAGCTGTTTCTGGAATTGCCTGAAAAGATCATTGCCTAACAGCTGCTTCATGTAGAAACAAGTGTTGAGATGATTTCTATCTTTGAGCAGCTGCCATTTGGACAGTAATGGTTAAAAGAAAGCATCCCCAAATCTTTTACTTGTCAGCTGCTACTTTGCCCAGCCTAGGCAGATGGAAACTTGAGGGACATTTTATGTCATAGTATACTTCCCAGACATATAAATGACCTATGAGAAATTAAGAGTAGGGAATAATTTTTTACTTTATAATTTCAGCTTTTAAAATACAACATAAAAAATGTCAGTTAACTACTAAATTGGTTTAATACATTAATATTTGCTACACAGTTAAAAATAAGCTTTTTCTAGGTTCTAATTATAATGTATGTATCCACTGTAGGAAAGATAAATGGAATGGGAAAACGAAATCTTTTGTAATTCAGCTGTTCAAAATAATTGCTGATAATTTTCTGTATTTCTGAATATGTATACTAAAAAGAGTTAAACAGTTTATATTGTTTTTTAATCTATGAAATTGTGTTTCCTTTATTGATAGGTCATGTAGTTGTGAAACTATTTGAAATAAGTTGGTATCACTACTATTTATTGGGCAGCTGTGTCGATTCAACATTTTGAATCAAAGTTAGTCATCAGTGTGAACTTAGCTTATTTCATTTGCAGAATAATGTACATACTGCTCTTACGATGAGTAATTTGGGAGAACGTGTGTACTGCTCTTAGGATAAGTAATTTGGGAGGTAATGTACAATTGTTAACAATTTTGTTAATTATGAACTTCATTAAGAGTCATACAAAATCTGTTCTACTTCAGTAACTAATTACTTGGGAAATTATTAATAGTATGAATGTTGTTTTTCTTCTCTTTAGGGAAAGCCTAAATGATAAACTAACTTGAAAAAATATGCAACACCAGGTGTAGACTGTATATTTTTAAATTGTTAATACACCTTTTCTAATCCTTCAGTTGGCAACCAGAACGCCAGGTTCCATTTAATGAAGTCAGATTACCACCACCACCTGATATAAAAAAAGAAATTAGTGAAGGAGATGAAGTAGAGGTATGTTTTTTTAAGTTTATTTTCTTGTGGTGTCTATTTTTTGATTTAAATAAATATTCTTTTAGGAAAATTAGCTTAGTTGATGGAGGATAAATCTGATTCCTTTTCTCTATTCTTTCTATTGGTGGTAATGGCCGTGTAATATAGCAGTGCTTGAGTTTTGGAGCTAGAATGGGTCTCACCTGTCCCATTTTTAGCTGTGTAGACTTTAAATTTATCATTATAATTTGGAAGTCATGGATGATAGGGTATTTGCATTTTTAAAAGAACCTAGCATAGAACTCTGTGCACTATAGTGTTACCTTTTTCCTTCTTTTTGCTAATTACTTTGAATAATTTGTCTTACGACTTGCCTGGGTGTCTTTATGAGGTGTTGATAGTTATTCTTTTACTATAGTGATCATTAACGGAGTTAATATATAACTGTAAAATATTGTAACTAGCTTTCTGCCTTCTAGAATATTCTAGAAATGTCTGAGGAAAAATTTAAAAGTACAGAAAAGCAAAAAAAAAAAAATGGAGGGAAAGAAAAATCACAGCTCACAGATTAATAAAACACTGTTCATGTTGTGCATGTTCTTTCAGGCTTGTCTCAGCATCCCAAAATGATGAGATTACAGGCGTGAACCACCGCCCCCAGCCCTGCAAACTAAAATTTTATTTTTTTTATTTTTTTGAGATAGAGTTTCCCTATTGTCCTCCAGGCTGCAGCGCAATGTCGCTATCTTGGCTCACTGCAACCTCTGCCTGCCAGGTTCAAGCGATTCATCTGCCTCAGCCTCCTGAATAGCTGGAACTACAGGCGTGCATCACCATGCCTGGCTAAATTTTGTATTGTTAGTAGAGACGGGGCTTCACAATGTTGGCCAGATTGGTTCTCGAACTCCTGACCTCAGGTGATCTGCCCGCTTTGTCCCCCCAAAGTGCTGAGATTACAGGTGTGAGGTACCGTGCCTAGCCATTTACAAACATTTTAAATGTACATATTCTGTACTAAGCACTTTGCAAGTGATTTAGTTATCTGCCAGTTTTATTTTATTGTTTGAGATGGAGTCTTGCTCTGTCTTCCAAGCCGGAGTTCAATGGAGCGATCTCAGCTCACTCCAACCTCCGCTTCCCACGTTCAAGCGATTCTTCTGCCTCAGTCTTCTGAGTATCTGGGATTACAGGTACCCACCACCATGCCCAGCTAATTTTTTTTACTTGTAGTAGAGACAGAGTTTCACCTTGTTGGCTAGGCTGGTCTTGAACTCCTGACCTCAGGTGATCACCCACCTCGGCCTCCCAGAGTTCTGGGATTGCAGGTGTGAGCCCCCACACATGGCCTGATTTTTTAATGATAAATTTTCTTTGAGCTCTCATTAATATAGGTAATAAGCTAGGAAGTCAAAAATTGCAGCACTTCAATCCCTGACAACCTTAATTTAGCGTACCCACTTTGGTGGAAGTCAGAGATAAAAGAGTGAGTAAAGTGAGTGCTTTACTTATTCATGAGGGACTTGGCTCATGGCAGCCTGACATAATTTATACTTTGCTTTAGTAAAAGTGAAATAGTACACAGTGAACTTAGTGCAAATAATTAAAATCCAGGCAGAATGGCAATAAGTTAAGAAATAACTTTTTGTAAGGATACCTGTAACTATCTGTGTGTATTAGAGTTCTTGAGGAAAATGTTACTGGTGGAATCTGGGGGAGACACGAGGAAACAAAGTGGTGAAATGACTGCTGCAAATCAAGAAGTGTAAAGTGGGGTCCTTGGTGGGTGCTATATATGGCGGTGATACTGCAGATTACTATGTTCATTTGGACTTTAGATTTTATTGAAAAAGGTTTTCTCAATGTTGTATCTTTTTCTAATAGTTTTCTGTGAGAATAAAGAGGCCTGATTCGTTTTCATTTTTTGAAATTTCTGGTATAGTGTTTTTTGGATTTTGAGTAAGCAAAAGTTAGGTCAAGAAAGGAATGATGTAGGTTTGGACATGTTCTAGAATTAGAAATGTGTGGCAGTCAGTTTTGAGAGTAATGCTTCTTATACTTTTCTGTTGTTTAGACACTTAAAATTGGTAGCGTGGAGTCTCAGATTAAAGGGAAAACTATTCTTGGTGGGGTGCTGAGGGTGTTGTTACAGTGTACTTTTTCCATTCCTGTCCAGGAGGGTCCTGCCCTGTTCCTGAACAGTGTCTGGCTCACCCCTGTGGTCTGCCTCCGCCTCTGTGAAGAAGACATTGATGTAGAGATTGAGTGATTTAGAAATTGAACCTAGTTTTTTTTCTTTTTAAATTTCACATTATGTTTTATGATTCAGCTCTGGTCATATTTGCTCTCTAAAATTTTGTAAGTCATCTGAAATTAAGATGTGATTTTTTTTTTTCCACTTTTGAAAAATTTGAAAATTCATATAAGGAAAAAGGAAAATTCATATAAGGAAAAAATCTTACCACCCATAGGATTTTGTTTTTTTGTCACCGTTTATTAAGGATTTATCCATATTACCTAGAGTGTTTAGAAACTCTGAGTTAGTGCTTTCCCAGGTAATGTTTCGAAAGCCTCCTCCCTTCCTTTAAATTTAAAGTAATAAAACTTAATGTAAAAAATGAAATGATAAAAAATTATATAAAGTACCAAGTGAACCTTCCATCTTAATGTAGGTGTACTTGTCCACCCACCCTAACTTAAATCTCATTTACCAGAGTTGATTCTCTTGTGAGTTTTTTTGTTTGCATGTATAAAGGACATATTTAAGTTGAAAAAAAATTGGGATTAAGTTATATATTTTTGACTTTTGTATTCACTTAATTAGGACAGCAAACATTTTCTTGTCTTCTCATTTAAATTTACCTCATTTTTTGTAACCACCTCAAAATTATTTGGTGTGGATATATCAAATTAAAAAACATTGAAATTACCAAATGTTTTGCTGTTAGTTAAAGAAAACAATGCGAGAATTGAAGTTAATATTCTTAAGCAAATCTGGTAGTATTATAGTTCCTGTGAGGTTAAATTGCAGAATCAAAAGGCATGATATATACATTTTTAAAAGTATTAAAATGTACCGTTTCATCATCCAAAAATGTCTTTGGAATTTACCACTTTATAATTTTATTAACCCTGGAGGTATCTTTTTCATACGTTGAGTGATTGTATTATATTGTTCATATGTACAGTTTTGTAAACTTGGTGGATGGAAGCTGATGTCTCCTGAATTCTCATTTCCTTAATCATAATATGGGAACATCACTTAAATTAGTTTATTGGCTCTTAACCCCTTGTTCTGTGAATTGTCTATTTGTTTGTTTGTGTAGTTTTTGGGGTAGGAAATCCTTGCATTTTATGGCTGAGTTTTATCTTTATTTTTATTTTTGAGACAGAGTTTTGCTTTTGTTGTCCAGGCTGGAGTGCAATGGCACGATCTCGGCTCACCACAACCTCTGCCTGCTGGGTTCAAGCGATTCTCCTGCCTCAGCCTCCCTAGTAGCTAGGATTACAGGCATACGCCATCACACTTGGCTGATTTTGTATTTTCGGTAGCGACGGGATTTCTCCATGTTGGTCAGGCTGATCTCGAACTCTCTACCTCAGGTGATCCTCCCGCCTTGGCCTCCCAAAGTGCTGGGATTACAGGTGTGAGCCACCGTGCCTGGATCTGAGTTTTGATCTTTTTATGTTTTTTTCCCTCAGGCAATTTTATTTTTTATTTTTTGAGACGGAGTCTCACTAAGTTGCTCAGATTGTGCAGTGGCACAATCTCGGTTCACTGCAACCTCTACCTCCCGAGTTTAAGTGATTCTCGTGCCTCGGTCCCTGAGTAGCTGGAATTAACAGGCGCACGCCACCATGCCCAGCTAATTTTTTTTATTTTTAGTAGAGATGGAGTTTTGTGATGTTGGCCAGGCTGGTCTCGAACTTCTGGCCTCAAGTGAACACCTGCTTTGGCCTCCCAAAGTGCTGACATAATAGGCGTGAGACACTGCGCAGGCTTACTTTTACATTTTTGAATTATGTTTTTTTACATCTGCTTCCCTGCATTATTTTTCCCTTATATGGGGGCGTGGGGATGGGGATTCCTTTTAGATTGCTTCATATCTGATCGCCTTAGTTATGAAATGTAATTTTTTGGTCAATAAACACTTTTTCTTAAACTTTTTCTGGGATTGTGCAAAATAGCAGAGGTAAGCCTGACATCTAAGCTGATAACCTGTTGTGTTTTTTTTTTTTTTGTCGGGGTGAGATGGAGTTTCACTATTGTTGTCCAGGCTGTAGTGCAATGGCACCATCTCGGCTCAGTGCAACCTCCGCGTCCTGGGTTCAAGTGGTTTTCCTGCTTCAGCCTCCTAAGTAGCTGGGATTACAGGCATGTGCCACCACACCTGGCTAATTTTGTATTTTTAGTAGAGACAGGTATTCTCCATGTTGGTCAGGCTGGTCTCTAACTCCTGACCTCAGGTGATCCACCTGCCTCAGCCTCCCAAAGTGCTGGGATTACAGGCTCGAGCCACCATGCCCAGCCCTGATAACGTTTTTTATAAGGTTTCTTCCTTGCATTTAGCATATTTGAAATTTTAAAAACCTGTTTTTGAACTGTGAGGTTTTCTGGTTTAGTATTCATTGTTAAAATAGGAATTGGCAAGTTTTTGTTCTTGTGGCATATGCCTTTCCTTTTCTAGTCATATGGTGGATTGTCAGGCATTATGGTTATGTATCTATATATTATATTAAAATGTTGGGATAGGCGCCTTGAGAGAAATTGGATTAAAAAAGAGAATAAAAATTATCTGAGGTAAGACACTCATTTACAACTTTTTAGGTTGTTTTTTTTTTAAATTTTATTTTTTTGAGACAGCATCTTACAGGCTGGAGTACAGTGGTGCCATCATGGCTCACTACAGCCTTGACCTCCTGGGCTCAAGGGATCTTCCTTGCCTCAGCTTCTCAAGTAGCTGGGATCATAGGCATGTGCCACCATGCTGGGCTAATTTTTGTATTTTTTTGAGAGATGAGGT